AGAGATAGAGAAATAGATAGATAGATATGATAGATTTAAGATAATTAGATACATAGATAAAGAGAAGAGATAGTGAGAGAGAAGGAGACAAGAGAGGACGAAAAGAGAGAGAAAGACAGAGAGAGAGAGAGAGAGAGAGAGAGAGAGAGAGAGAGAGGGAGAAGGAGAAGAGCAGGAGACGAGAGGGAGGGATGATAGAGAGAGAGAGGAGATTTGGTGAGAGAAGATGAGAAGAGAGGAGAGACGAGAGAGATCGAGAGAGGAAGAGCGGAGAGATCGTGATGGAAGAGATGACGGGTGAGAGAGGAGAAGAGGAGGGAGAGAGAGAGTGAGGAGGACGAGAAGAGAGGGAGGCGAGAAGAGAGAGAGAGGGAAGAAGCGGAAGGGAGGGAGATGGGAGAGAAGGGAGAGAGAAGAAGGAGGATAAGAGTGAGAAAGAGAAGAATTGAGGGATGGGGAAAGGATTGAGAGACGGGGTGAGAGGAGAGATGGGGAAGAGGAGACGAGAGAGAGGGAGAAGGGAGGGAGACGGGTAGATAGAGAGTAGACGAGGAGAGAGAGAGAAGACAGAAGGACAGAGAAAAGACAGAGAAGCCAGAGAGTGCCAACCCAGGAATATTTCGGATACATTACCGCGCTAGATAAAATCACAAGCTCATTGAGACTGCCACAACAGACAGAATCAGCGGTGAAAATAATAACCTCCCTCCAGAAGAAGTCGAAACCATTACAAAACTGACAAGCCTCACCGTCCCCGTGCCCACAGGATGCCGAGCACCGGTGCCAAATCCCACGGGTGTTACAATTCTCCCCAAAAGTAGATTCCCTAAGGTACAGCCAAACCGCCAGTTTGTAAGTACAGGACATCACAAATTCAGGTTGGTTTAAAAATGGTTCCCATAAAGTGACAAGTGTAATCAGCCATTCGACAGAAGATCCGCCTGATAAACCACGTATCAACGACGTGAAATTCAAGCACTGGCACCTCGGACGAGCGCCAGACGCTGACCCCCGACCCGTGGTCGCGGTCGGCCGAGGGCGCTCGCCGGTAGGCTTAGCAACAGCTGACGAAGGCGACACCTCCCCGAGAAATTGCCAGACACAAAATCGCCTTCTACCTTCCTTAATCCTAAGCTCCATCCTTACCCACTCCTAGATCATCCTAATTCCTCCGCTCCCGCACCACCACCTCCTTCCCTCAACCCCTTTCTGCTGTAACCCTACAACTTGTGCACATTATAATGGACATGCAATAGTATACAAAGTGTGGCAAAAGAAGTCAAAAATACAAATAAAATAATACTAACAGAATTAATAAATCTTGGCAAAAAACAAAAACACTCAGTAACTCCAAGACTCATAATATTGCGATCGCGACCTGACCGCTCCCTGGATAAGGCCAACCGTCGCGTCCCTCTCCTGGCATGAACAATTGTCCCAGCAAGATAGTGTAAATCAATGTACAGAAAGTGCAATATAGTGTAAATCGATGCAGAAAGTGCAATATAATACTATATATACATATGGAATTATAAAAACAAAAGTTTGATCGACAGAAAACGAAATTTAGTAAGTCATCATGGCAAATAGAAACCATTGCTGTACATGTACAACAACGAACTGCTGGCGATGCCCATGTGCAACTGCCAAAGGCCTTGCACTAACTGCGGAAGGGGTTCCACGTGCCAGAATCAACACCCGAGGGAAGGAGAGATCCTGCAAGGCGAGGAAAACGGCGCCGGAGACACGCAGCCAGCTGGAGGGAGCGCGGCGCCACCAGCAGCGCAGGAAAGGGAACTCCCGCCACGCGAATCCTGGCGAACCACAACCCTTGATGAACTTCATGAACCAACACAATATACAGCAAGACAAGTTACCCTTTTCCCCCCCAGTAATATTTTTGAAATTCCAAAGTGCAACGCGGCCAAAGAATTCACAAAGGGAAACACCTTTCCACTTGGAGATTTTTATTCCCGAATCCCTCCTCCGACCAACTCCTCTGGAAGTGCCACTCTCCCTCATCTGACGTGCCGACGAGTCCCTGTCAGCTAGCAGACAAAGAAGACGAAAGCGCCCTTAAACTTACTGCTGGGTCAACCCTATGTATAATAGATCAGAACGAACACCAGGAAATAAATCTAGAAGAACAACAGAAATTAAGAACGGAAATAACAAAAGACCAGTGAAACAAGAAAAAGCGGCACGAACTACAGACTTTCATCACAACTGACAGAGAGAGAGAGAGAAGAGAGAGAGGAAGAGAGAGAGAGAGAGAGAGAGAGAGAGAAGAGATAGAGATAGAGATAGAGATAGAGATAAGATAGAGATAGAGATAGAGAGAGAGAGAGAGAGAGAAGAGAGAGCGAGAGAGAGAGAGAGAGAGAGAGAGAGGAGAGAGGGAGGGAGGAGAGAGAGGAGAGGGAGAGAGAGAGAGAGAGAGAGAGAGAGAGAGAGAGAGAGAGAGGAGAGAGAGAGAGAGAGAGAGAGAGAGAGAGAGAAGGAGAGGGAGAGAGAAGGAGAGGAAGAGAGGGAGAGAGAAGAGAGACAAACAGAGACAGAGACAGAGAGAGAAAGAAAGAGACAGAGACCGAGACAGAGAGAGACAGAGAGAGACAGAGAGAAAAGAAAGACCGAGAGAAAGAG